ATTAGAAAGGACCTGTTCAAATCCTAGATTAAGAGATAAAATAATTAAGGAACAAACAAATTCCTCTTGTAAAAGTATTATTGAGAAACCATAACGTAGAGGAAGTAGCATAGGAATGAGAGGAAGAGATGAAGATGAAATATCTTGAATTGTTTACTTAGAGAAATTTCAAGGATGGAATTTTTATAAAGAGGGAAGGATGTAATATCCGTGACCTAAAACCCTCATAGAATGTAAATGTATTATATGAATATTTTATTTAATTAATAAAGAGTATAACTATTAAATGTGAGGAATAAGGTTTAAACCTTAATTAAGAATAAAATAAACACAATTATGATTGAAAGGAAATATCAATGGAATGAGGGAAGATTGAATTAGAAATTCGCATCATAAATTATCATGGTTATGTCTCTACGTAAGGATATAATCGTAAAGATTAAAAGTATAGGTCTTTGATTACAATAGTTAAGAAACTTTAGGGATTGGAATTATCTTTAGTATAGGCTTAAGATGGGGGCCCAATTGATGAAATTTGTGAAGTTATTGACTAAAATTATAGAGCTATATTGCAACAATTAGAAGTTTAGGCACTAAAGTATGAAATATTAATCATGTGAGGGACTTATTAATTGATCTTAATGGATAAATTTTAGCTTGAGAATTCTAGAAAGATTTAGAGAAAAGGGAAAGAGAAAGTCGATTAAGGAGGAAGAAACAAGAGAAAATATCTAAGGCAAAAGAGAAAAGAAAATATGATGAAGAAGAAGACAAATCAAGAAGTAATTAATGACTAACCTTAAAATTAATCCAAATGTGATATACTTGGATTAATTTGAAGGAAAAAACCCTAGCTAAAAATATGAAAGAGGAAGAAGAAACAATGGTTACACAACTAGAACATTCAAATAACCCCAAAGGAGAGGAAACCATCCAAACACCACTCCCTAAACCATTTTAGGTAGCCTAGAAACACTCTAAAACAACCTCCAAATCAGTTTATAAGATCAAGAAAAAGAGGGACAAAATTCTTTATCTTGGGCGAAATCTTTGGAGAAGAGGAAAAGAAAGGAACCAAGGAAGAAAAAAGAGAAAGAGTGGCCAAACTCATAGTGAGGTAAGTGTAATCCTTACTATACCATAAGAAATGTGTTTGATATGTTAATGATGTTAACTTCCAATTTAATTGCTTATGTTTATGAACTAATGAATGAATTATTAAGGATTTCCTTATTATTGTTTGAATTGAATGGATTAGGTGATGCATATGTATTTAAGATGTGAGGATTTTGATGTTTGAAGGACTAAGAGAAATTAATTCATATGTTCTAATGTTGTCCTTGTTCTTGGAACAAGGTGGTGGATAATGTAAAATATGAATAAGTTAATGGTTTTACTACCTAATGCCTATATAGTGTTTGATGAAATATCTTAAAGGTGTTCATAAAGTTAAATTGAAGGAATTAAAACTTGGTCACCTTGTGATGAAATTTTGGCCAATTAAGAGGTTGTGTTTAATTAGCAATGTCTTTCCATTGGCCTAATTTGGCTAAGTATGGAACAACAAAAGGCAAAAAAGGTTAATGTGTGGTAAATGTTAATTGTAAGGTTTAGAAGTACAAAATGGTATGAAAATGATTATATCCATGTGAAGAATGATTGATTATGTTGCTTATCATATTCGGCTATGATGTGTTGAAAAATGCTATCAATGTTCGTTATTTGTTCATGGTGCATTCATGTTTTGCATATATACTTAATTTATGTGGGGCATGTATTCAATATATTTTTATATTACATGTTCATGAGAAATTAAAAATATGCATGTTGAGGTTTATGTTTAATGCATTGCGGTTTATTTAAATGCATATGCACATCATAATTATGAAAGAGGTTTTACATTCATGACTTTGATGAAAGGAAAAAAAAAAAAAGGAAAGGTTTTCAAAAGGAATGGCTTGGTACCTTCTTGAGGTTTATGGGAGAGGAATGATCACCCTCTCTAAAGAAAAATGGGCATGCTTAGTGTGTTGAGTTTATGGGAAGGTACCTAGTGCTTTTTCACAAATTGCATATTTTTACGGAGGGCGATTATTTACGCAATCAACAGGGAGCGCTTGAAGAGAAAATTGAATTTCAAAATGCATGAAAATGTTTTTATAAAAGTTACATCGTGTGCATTGCATGCATTGTAAGGATTACACTTACTAGGCATTGCATTGCTCACCTTTCTTTCTTATGGTGCAGGAGAAAAGAAAGATAAATGAGGAATCGTCGCCAAAATATGCAAAGGACTTACCTTTTGTGTGCTTAGGGTGAAAGAGTATGAGAACCTTACTTTTGCTTAACTCGATTTTGGTTATATGTATATGATAGTGAGTTATGCGAATTTTGGTATCATAATTAGTTAAGCAAATATTATTTTGTAATAATGAGGGTATGACTTGGATGTTAAGTTTAATGTTATATTAGAGGTGGTTAATTAACATAGTCACACTCGAAGTAACAGATTATGGGAATGAATGAATGAATTAAAGGCATAATAATGTTGAGGTTTAAATGTTTTCCCTATATTAATAACTAATGAATTAAGGATAAAGAGGTAAGGTGAGGGATTAACAAAGGTTTGAAAAAAGGAGTACTAAGGTTAAAACTCAAAAGGGAATCAATAGATAGGGAGTAGAGGCATAAATGGGATTGTTTTAAATAAATTAGGAACCAAAATTCATTAAGTCCAACAATGTTTTAAATGGCCAAAATATTAGTAAAAGTCTAAAGGAACTTATTAAAAGCTTTATTGAATTTTGAAAAAGTTTATACGTAAATTTTAGTTAAGGTGGAACTATTATCTCATATTTATTGGAGACCTCACTCACGAGTTGCCTACTTTGCTAATGAACTGAAAACGTTAAGAGAGGAGGCTTTTTACTTGAATTCATTATACTCCAAATGTAAGTCAATGTCGATGATATTCTCAATCTATCTAAGTCCTAGGTTGGAGGTTTTGTTGTTGAGAAGATCTATACTAATAAAAATAGTTAGGAGATGATGAATCAGCCTTGATCAAGAGATAAGTTTCAGTTCTGCAGAAGACAAGCAGATTTGCTAGAGCCTTACAAATGAGTCGAAAATGAAAGAAATGTTATTCTAACTTATAAGGTAGGTTTTAAAACTAAATTTAACAATGAAGAAAGTGGTGGGACAGTTTGTAATCACGTGACAATATGATTTTGCAAATATCTATTATAAAAGCCATGATTAAATTTTAAGTGTAAAGTTAAACTATAGTTATATATATAACAGAATCATTCAAAAGTTAAATCAAAATGGTATTAGAATCACCATAAAAACAAACAATCTCTATATCCATAAAATTATCAAAATGGCATTTGATTCATCTTAAACAATCCCTCTAAATTTATAAACAATCACTTCAAATCAATATATATGATTAAAAAAAAACAAAAACAAAAATAAAAAGGTCACGCACAGCAATCAATTTTACTTTGGGAACCTAAAATTTGTATCAGGGAGTTGTAAGAAGATTTGAAAGTTTAAGGATTGAAATAACCAATATATAAAGCTAGAAAATCTGAACATAATATATATATATATATCGCATCTGAATCTAAAAAAATTTATTTTGGCTGCTGGAGTTCAAATAGGGGCAAAAACATTCAATTCAAAGGCATCGATCTTCCTTAAGTAGTGCAGGCATTCTGCACTTAGCTTCCTTGCATTTGCTGGAATTAAAATATTTTAATCTTTGAATCAATGAACAAAGGAACCACCGATGTTCTGAAATACATCTTTAAACTGTCACCTTCCTATAGCTCATTGTTTTTTTCTTCTTTTTTTCCCCCTTAAAAAAAAAAAAAAAAAGGGCGTGAGAGAAAAAAAAAAAAATAAAAAAATAAAAGGAGGAGTGAGATTTGGTTTTATCATTATGAAGCTAATTGTTTTTAGCTATTTAGAGTTCCCAACATCATCGAATTGAGCTCACTGTCTTTTCCAACAAAGAAAATGGTGTCCCTTATGGCATGATTGTTTTCTTGGTTTTATAATTTTTATTGTCTCCTTATGATCTTTTAATTTTAGCTTTTCTTTTCCTGCCAAAAACTTTGAACTCTCTCATCAGTAAATTTAGCTGAATTTCATAAAATGAAAAACAAAATGGAGTCTGTGATCATGTTTTCTTCATATTCTATTTCTGTTAGTGTTGTCCTCTTGAGAACTCTTTTAGGAAAAAATAAAAAATTCAATCACATGGGCGAGGGCTGAAAGAAGTTCTGGAGAAACTATGCTTTTGGGCTTTGGCTAAAAGACAAACTGTGGCAGCGGAGAGAAATCAGAGTATGTGGATTTGTATAAAACTAGCTTCATCTTTGACATGGCTTCGTAGCCAATAGGGCATTTGAGTTAGCTTTCAAACTATCTCTAGTATTGTTCTCCTGAAACATTTTATTTTTATGTTTTAACTCCTACATTATTCAGGCTATAAGGATGCATTTTTTGACCTTAACACCTATGTTTAGGTGATCAAAACAAGTCAAAGAGGAGTGCACTTTATTCTATCTAGAAGAAAACAGAAGATATGTTCCAATGACTTGTTAGATTGATCTGATGACTCAGCGTAGATTGGATAAAAATTTGTTTCATGTCATGGCAATAAGTGTAAGTATAGTTATGCCAATGTTCCAGGATTACAACTAACAATAGGTAACTGATTTAACAAAATTAAGAAGCTCATGTCACAAACATTTCAAGTTATATATGTCATGGAATTTTACATTGTAAAGCCTGGCAGATGACTAAAAGCTTATTAGATTCTAGTACAATAATTTTTGTGATCTTTTATTGACAGCAGTTCATAAATACACTACTATAGCTGCTAAACAAACAGAACTCCACTCGATAGACAATAAAGACAAGAAAAAAATTGGGTGTAAAAGCCATATATAGTTTTTATTGGAAGCTACACAGCAATAGCTAGATAGTGTTCAGTCAAGGAGATGTTTTCTGTGAAGATGAAGAAGCTGGGGGATTCCGGGTATGAGAGGAGGTAAAGGAGGGAGAGGGGGAATCAATGAGAAGGGAGGTGGAGGTGGTGGAGTCAGGCCAGGGATTGGTGGCAAAGGAAAGACTGGATTTGGAGGAGGCTGAAGTGGATTTGGAGGAATTATGGGAGGAAATATTGTAGGAGGTGGAGTCAGGCCAGGGATTGGTGGCAAAGGAAAAACTGGCTTTGGAGGAGGCTGAAGTGGATTTGGAGGAAGTATGGGAGGAAATAGTGGAGGTGGCTGAATTATTGGAGGAAATAGTGGAGGTGGCTGAATTATCGGAGGAAATATTGGAGGTGGCTGAAAAGGGTTTGGTGGAAAAAGTGGTGGTGTTGGGAAGCCAAATTGATTAGGATGGCGCACTGCATTCTGATCTGGTAATGTTGTGCTTTCAAAAGATTCTGTAGTTTTGATCTTTTTAGTATTTCCTGGAATTGGTGGAAGAAAAGGTAGTCCTGGAAGAGGTGGGAGAGGAGGGAGTTGCGGTAATGGTGGCAATTGTGGAAGCAGAGGAAGAGGAGGAAGATAGCGTTGGTTCAAAGGAGGTAGATTAGGTGTTGTTGGGTCTTGAAGTGGAGGTGGAAATGTTGGGTTATCATTAGGAGGCAAAGAAGCTTTTTGGGACCGAATTCCCTGGAGTTTTCTATACTTGGTTTTTGATTGCATAAGATTGGTCGTTTTTCAGGCTTGAAAGTGAAAAAACCAGCTGAAAATATATGTGTTCCTTCCTTTCCTGACTTGAGACGAAGTGATGATGAAGTTGCTGTTGAAGCCACAGCACAATATGGCTCGCTGCTGCTTAGTAACTTCACTGAACATCTCTTAATTGTGTTTAAATGTTTGCTCACTGGGAAAGGCAAATGAACTTTGAATTCTCCATGCTCATCTGTTTTCACTTCTTCTCGAAAACTTGGCCTTGATTTCTCATCCTTGCACTCTACTGCAACCGATGCACCTGCATTCAGTAGCCCCCAAAATCATTAACTGTATCATACTGCAAAACAGAACACATAGAATTAATGATAATCCAATAATTGAGAAAGTTGTCTTGTCTAAATGAACCTGAAATGAAGTGGCTGCTCCTTGAGAAATCCTCTTGGAAACATGTGTCACAGTAGACAGTACCAACAACAACTGCAGATGGAAGTTTCTTTCCATGGCTAGCTTCTGAGAGGTTATTAAATGTGAAACCAAGAAGGAATATTATGAAAAACCAGGGCATTTTGAGTATTCTTCTTCTCTCTTTATGGGATCTTGATTCAGGGAAGAATAAGAGTTGAAGAGTCTACGTTTGTCAACTGAGCTATGCTTGAAACTTATTCTTTATTATTGCACACTGTCCTTTGTTTCCATATAGATGTTTGAGGTATAAATAAAAAATATAGGGTCTTATCAACTTTCAATCTTTCATCTTTATGTCATTCATGCAAAAACCAGTAAACTGCAAACTAGCAGCAGTGAATGTGAGTATATTTCCTACCATTTAACAGCTCAAAAGGAAGGTAATTGGCAGGTAGACAAGGAAAGACTCTAGCTCTGCCCTTCAATTTTTTTTTTATATTTTTTTTTAACTTACCAATAAATTATAAATTAGTCCTTGGTTTTGAAAATAAATTAAATATTTCCTCTAGTTTCAAAAACTAATTTAATTTTTTTCATTGAACTCAATTTTTTTTCTGTGTATATATATTTTTTTTCTAAAAAATAAAAAGAGAAAAAAGAAGTAAAAAATATGGAAAGATTGACCAAGAAAAAAAGTATTTTTTTAAAAAATATTATTAAATTAACCATGATCAATACTAGTAAAAGAAAAAACTAATTAATTAATTTTTAAAATAAGAAAAATTATTTTATTTGTTTTGCAAACCAAAGGGATTAATTTATAATTTACTCTTTATTGAGTTTGTTCGTTTGTTGGTTTTAAAATGCCATCGTGGATAGGTGGGTCACTGTTGGTTCACGAGACATGCAGAGTAGCCACAAATTTAATGAGCATAAAAGACTCTAGCTAATGCCAACAAATTTTGGAATGTAGTTTATTTGTTGCGTAAATGTGCTGTTCACCTTTTGGACAAAACATGTGGACATATGTTGTCACTTCTCAGAGATTCAATGTAATTTTTAAGAGCAATCATCCACTTATGATACTGTAGAAGTTACAGAAATTTTTACACTGATGAAGATTATTGCTCGCCGGTTTACCATTGCTCATTCTGTCACTGGAACCGCATGTGGTCCTCTTTTCAACGTCCATATAATGTTCTCAATGTTAATATCCTCTTATGTTATTTTATTTTATATTTGATCGTGCTCTTTAATGAGAATCAATCTAAAATATTGATAAGAATTTACTCTATATTTTGAACTTATATTCTTATTATTATTATTATTTTTAGATCTTTTACTTTCTTTTTTTTTGAGTTAATTGAGATATTTTTTTTAAAAAAAATTTTATTTCAGACCCTCTATTATAATATCATCAATAAATGAATCACATATGATATTATAAAGTAAAAAATCTTAACAACGTGTCAATCATTAATTAGTGATTGATGTTATAAAAAAATCTAAAAGAAAAATATTAAAAAGTAGAGGATTTTAATAAAAAAATTTTGAAAAGTATATAAGTGTGGGGGGAACTTGTATTGATATGATTTAAATGATTGAATGTGAGTAAAATTTTGAAAAACATTCACTAAATTCAAATATAATAGTCTTGTGGACATTGGCATTGTAGCAAGTAAAAATTTAGATCATCAATTTCAAAATGTATTGTAATACACTTTGGAAAGTAAACAGCATATGCTTGATTCTCATCCATGCTTTATGTGAGACAGGTTCGTACATCAACTAGAAACTGAATTTAGCTCGTGTGTTTGTGTCATTGGGCAAATAAGCCTTTAGTAGAAATTTCATCCAATTTACTCCTACAGTCATCACATTCCAACAATTGAGTTCAATTGAACTGAAACGTAAACATCATAGCCAGACCCTAAAGGATAAATTCGTCATAGTTTGTTTAAAATTTAATCAATTGGATTGAATTGATAAAACATAACAAATATAAAGTAAATTTGACTTCTTCTTTTTTTCGTAAGAGCTGATTTGCTTGATTGGCTGTCACAAGGGCTACAGGGTTATTAAAGAAATTTGTGAGCCTAATAATACTAGGTCATTTTGGCCAAATGATAAATTACAATAACCCTCTTAGGTATCATCAAATTACAATAACCATTCAAAAGTTTAAAATTTTTGTTTATACCTAAAATATCCTTAATTGCTATTTAGACAAGGCTATTTGGTTCGATAGTATCCTAAATTTTGATCAAACAAAAACTAGTATTTGAACTTTAATTTTTTTGATTTAAGTACAATTCTTTTTTTTTTTTTTTTGGATTTGCAATTGAGTCGAGCAATCTCGTTGATCAACTTCCGAACACACGTAATAGACACGTGTTGGTGAAATAACCAAAAAACTCATACCTAAATTAAATTGTCAAACTTTTTTTTTCCCTCATTTCCTCTCTCACTCTTTATTTTTTCCCCTCCAAAACCTTCCAAAATTCTTGCCAGTTTGTTAACATACCAAACAAACAAACAAAAACTCTTTTTTCCCCTCTCTTTCTAGTTAGCACACTAAAGAAAATCCATCATTCCCCATCTTCCTCTCCTTCATCCTTAATCCATTTTATGTGTGTCATGGTGTACAAGAGTTTGTGTTATTGTGTACTAGAGCCATAACAAACATAACTATTTCTTCTTTTTGGGGTTGGTGTTTGTTGTGTAAATCACCATGAAGTATTTGATGAAATATCTTCTTCACCTCTTCAATCTTCTACCGATACCACAAGTAGGACCAAATAAATTATTTATCAAATGTGCTAATAAATATTGTGGATGTGGAACATGATACTTGTAAGGATTTTATAGTCCAAAAAAAACCTAAATATTTATTTTATTTTTTTTGAAAGATGTGAGTTTATAGAATTTTGTGAACCAATAAACTTAATAAAGTTTTTGAAACTTTAAAAGATGACTATGGAGATGCAAGAGTTGAAGCAAAAAGTTCAAGGGATGGTTGGTTGATTAATAAATTGAAGTCGGTGTTGGAGGCTTATAGGGGTAAGGGTATACATATGTGGTTGTTTGTTAGTTTGTTTTGCCATATGCTTTTATACGTTTTGATCAAGTAAATAGTTGTCATTGGTGTAATTTGATCATGGAATGAATGAAAATTGAAAGTGTTTGTGTCGGTATATTATTGAAGAAACTAATAGGTATATTTCACGTTTAATATACTTTATACAATAAGGACTTGTTTCATCTTCTTATGTACTGTTTTGTGTTTATAATTGTGTATACTTAATTTTTTCACTTTATACAATGGGGACCTATTGATACAAAATAATACAAACATATATGTAAAAGACATTTAATTGAATAAAAACCTTAATTCATTGAATAAACATAAAGTTAATATTAGTCAATCCATAATACTATATTTATGGGTAATATTGACATCATTAAACCTATTAAATTATAGATACAAAATAAAATATATGATTATCACATCTAAGTACAATACTAACCAACATTTGTTAATGTAAATGGCATACTACTAAAAATACAAAATAAAGACATGATCTTACCCTTTACGTAATCAAGAGTCGGGTTTCGGATCATTTCTCAAAAGTATATGTTGTTCAATATAGAATATCAAGGTTTTCATATAATCTTGTTATTGTTGCTTCTTACCGACTATCTTGTTGATTTAAAAGACTTTTTCAAGTTATTAACATGATCGCTTCTTCTATGGCTAGCTCTATAACCATTTATGAAACCACAACCAAAACCGGTATTGCCCCGAACCTACAAAATACATGTATTACATTTCTTATATCCCCAACGAAACTAGCAAGAACAACCAATAATTACTAAACAAAACTTTTGGGCATGCTAGTGTTTTAAGCTCATGATTGTGCTATAATCGGCAATCTTGGCATGCCAAACAACACTCAACTGACCACAATAACACTTGTAAGAATAACCAACAATTACAAAACAATAAGTCTAGGCATGCCATGGCTTTAAACTTATGATAGTGCTATAAATGACGAGTCTTGGAGTAATACCCGAATCTAATTTCTATATTTCGTGTTAATATATATATATATATATATATATTGTTAATTGCGTTCATTCTATGATTGTCTTATTGAAGATAAATGTTACGTTTTTAAAATTAAATGTTTGTTAAGTGTTATGTGTGAATAGTGAAGCAATTGACAAGTGAAAAGCTGAGTAAATATAGTTTAATTAAGCGATTTCATACATGTATAACTTAAGTTTTAAAATTTAATTAGTGATTTAAACATATATTAATCGGGAAATAATATCTTAATTAAGTGTTTCACCTAAATTTAAATGTCTAAATATAAAATACCACCTTAGGACATGTAGTCATTAAGGGAATTTTAGGTAAAAATTTTGATCAAGAGCGAGAAACAAAAAGAGGAAAGTTTTGGTTTGGTTCATTAGATATTTTCATTTTTTCCATCTATCGATTTTGAGAGAGATAGAACAATAAGAGAGAAAGAGGGTAAGGGAGACTAAATCATAAGAGAGAAAGAAAGAGAGAGTTAAAATTTACTAAAGGAAGGAGCTAAAATTACCAAGAGAAAGCAAGCTTCGCCGAAAGGAAGAGGAAATTGTTAAGAAGAAGAAAGAGGAGGAAATGAGTTGTTTTAGCTAAAACTTTGGGCATGGAGGAGAGGGTTTTCTTTTTTTTTTTTTTTTTTGGGTGGGGGGGGGGAGGGGTTAAGGTGCTTTCATCTTCAAACAAATCTAAGGTAAGGTAACTTCAACTCACTATAAGACTTAGAATGATTGTGTTGAAGGTAGAATAGTGTTCTTGGAAACCTAGGCTTTCAAATTATATCATTGAATGAATTATGTGAAATTGATTTTTGAATTGTGAAATTAATGAATGATTGACTAATGTGAGGTTTTGGCATGTATTTAATTGTTGATTAGGTTAGTATTAAAAGTGACGCTTATGTAAATATAGGAATTCTAGGGTTGGTTAGTTATTAAATGAGGACTTTATATTATGATGTGATTGGGTAAGTAATTAATTGGTAAGTAGCCATTGCAATATTGATGGGTATGTGTTAATTATAGATTTAGAAAAGGTAACGTGGTATTTATGTAAGATTTAGAAAT